GGGGGGGGGGGGGAGGTTTAAGAAATTTGCACTAGGCAGTTAGGAAATGAATTGCTAGGATCTGAACCCGGGCTTTGCTGTCAAAGGCCATCATGAGGTTAGAGCTGGAAATGAGAGGTGGGCTCTGCTTCCTTAATGGGTTAGGGTACCAAGCAGACACGAAGACAGGGCGTGTGTGACAGAAGAAGCAATCCCATGGAAGGAAGAGAAGGTCTGCCGAGGAGGGAGGGTCCACAGGACAAACGACTTTTGCCTGACTCTATCCAGAGCCTATGCTTGTGTCCCTAAATCAAGTGATGTTCTTTCTCTTCTTCTCTCCCCCAAACAGATTGACATAATATGTTGTTTTGCAAGACCCACGGGAGAAGAGCATAAAGCCAGTGTTCCTTTGAGAAGTAGGCAGATTGGTCCAAGTGCATCTATAAACTGTAACCACCCACACATACCATTCCAAAGGCAGTGCCTAAGACAAAAAGCACAGTCTAGAAGATTCCCATTAGTGCAGATAAAAGGTAAGAGCCGCAGACCTCATCTCCAGCACACATATAGCACGACATAAATGTGGTGTCTTACAACCCTGGGGGTCTGCGGACCGTGTGCGTCTCAGAGGACCGTGTGCGTCTCAGAGGATGACCGCATCTGAGGGAGGCTGTGCCTCCTGTTCACCACCCTGTTGTCTGCATTGCGGGTGAGCTCTCACCCACTCCCACCATGTTCCTGCTCTCTTTGGCGCCCCTTCAGAGCTGTGGAGCTAATTTTAACCTGTAAGCTGAATTGCAGAGCAAAGAAGACCTAGGACTCAGGGTGGCTGTAACTAAAAGGAAACAGGACCAGAGTCTTCAGAGTAACAAGGCAAGCCAGTCGCTAACCACCTTTCTCTCTGACCATTACCCAGAATTTAAAAATACGGGGCAGATCATCCTTGGTAAACATCTTGTCATGGGAGACAAACTGCTATGGCAAAGGGATAGCAGGCATTTACTGAAATGTGTGGGACATTGTTTCGGAAGGGACCTGGCTAAAAAGATGTGCTAAGTTGTTTCCAGGCTTGGGGCCATATGTGTAGGAACGGATGTAACCAAGAGAAGGCAGGAGAACAGCAGGTTATTTGGGAGGAACACGGAGGAGAATGGCATGGATCAGGAAGCTTCCCAGAAGTATGATTCGTCCAAGAGTGATGTCGGTTCAGGGAAATGTCGGGAATACAAAGTTCCCCCATTTGCTAACTGCCGTGTCTGCGTGCTTGCTTTTGGATACGGAGGACTGCTTCGGGACAGATGATCGGGACCCATCTTTACCCAGAGTACTGGGCAGGTGTTAAGCACTGTTTAAGCACTCCTAAAATCAGTTAAAACTAACGCTCAGCCCTCGTTGTAAGCGCTCCTTCTGATCATTTTCCTGTAAATAAGCAAAGACGTTGGGGGATGGGCTGTCTGACTTCCTAATTGGCAGCTGTTGGACTCTCCTTTGTTGCCCTGGCTGCCTTGAGCAAAAGGAGTGTCAATCAAAAGCCAGCTGGACTACACTTAATGCCAACACTGGCTGCGTCCAACACTCCACAGGCGCTCTGAGAGGACTGCGCTCTGACTGCAGCTGGCTGTCCCTGCACCTGAAGGGGTGGCCTCAGCCAGGTTGTTCACACAGACAGCGCTGAACTGTTCGATCTCACCAGCCTTGGTGAACTCAGGTTACCCTGGAACCACTTCCAACCTGGGCCAGAGGGGGAAGTGCCTCGGCTGTGACCGGGGCGAAAGGGACAATGCTCCCTCTGATTGGTGCAAACACAAACCATCGTGTGCATGTGGTTTGCTGTGATTGGCGCCAACTCCCCTCCTCGGGCTCCAGAAGCAAGCAATTTAGTAAGCTGCCTGGAAGACCCACCTTCTCGTACTGCCGGCCTGTGTTGTAACGTTAGGCCCAATAAAAGGCTTCTCTTGAGTGATCTTTTCTTGCCTTTTTTTTTTTTTTATAGTGTGGACTGAGTTGATAACATGAAAAAATTAGCAGGCGAGACAGTGCAGTAGCAGTGATGACACATGACCGACGCGGCGAGGTGCCAGAGCCGTCAGGTGAGTGTCTACTTGACTGCGGAAGGATAGAAGGCGCCCAAGAGTTACAGAGCGCAGGACCGAGAGTCCTAGTGAGCTGTCAAGCCTTTTGGGTCACAGATCTCTGACACCTCAGGCCAGGAGCTGTCACACTGGCCACTGTCAGCAGGAGGAATCCTGAAACCTGCCCCGTCAATGCTGCTAAAGGCTGAAGGATCCTGACTTTGTTCCTACAATAGGAACAGCAACTCCTGTAGAGCCAGGGATCCGGTTCCCCAAAGCCTCCTTAAGAGCTATGAACACTAGAGGGCGCTGCTTGCTGCTGGTAATGGAGTAGTTCTGTCAACACCACTGAATACAAATACTGTTGACACCAGCCAGCTTCCTACCTACCCACAATTTGTCACTGTTTTTCTCTTAAACTCTAGTGACATTGTTCTCAAGCCTCAAAAAACAAACAGACAAACACCAAAACAATAAAACAACTACAACAAAATAACCAAAGTCCTCATGCTGGATGATGGGTTGTAGCTATGTAGCCAAGACTGGCCTCCAACTCACGGTTATCTTCCTGCCTCAGCCTCCTGAGTGCTGGGATTATAGGCATGTACTACCAGTTGAGATGAACTTGTGCTACTTTTAATGACTGTGATCTCTCCTCATGTGCTTCCCATCTGCTGAGTCCCCGAGTCCTGGTGCAGAGCATGTAGTGCTTTGGGTCCAGGATGGAAGAGTATTAGGGCCCCAGCAGTGGGCTGGGCAGGACCACTAGATTGTTGCTTCCTTTTATAGGTTGACAGCTGAGGCAAGAGAAAGGTCCAGAGAGCCTGTGGTGGCACACACTGTCCTCCACTCTGTCTTCCATGTCCTAAGTTTAGAGTTTGAGCGCTCACAACCCTCTTTTCCTGAGGTACTTGGGAAGGGAAGCGCATCTGGGTTGAGTCTAAGGAGGCTGTTCCTGACTGGAGAGAACCACGATCCCTTGGCTTGCCTACCTGGGTCAGTCCTGAATTTGATGGATAAGCAGGGGCTTCCCTGAGGACCTTTTCCTGGTACAGGTGGTTTGGACTCCCTGGATGGCTAACCAGAACCTTCCTGCCCTGAATCAGGACTCCCTCACTGACTTGCTCCATGGAAGACCCCATGGGGGATGCTCTCTATCCCCACAATGAAGAGATGTCTCAGCAGAGAGTTTGGATCCCCAGAACCACTGTGTAAGTGAGCACTGGGTTCAACTGCCTAAGCAAGTAAGATGGAGAGCAATTCTGGAAGATGTCTGACATCAACCTGGGGCCTGAATACACATGTGTATGTATACATATGTTCCTGTACATACATGAAACATGTATACACATATGTGTATCACATATACATATGTCTTAGGGTTTCTATTGCTGTGAAGAGACACTATGACTACAGCAACTCTTATAAAGGAAAATACTTAACTGAGGTGGCTCACTTACAGTTTCAGAGGTTCAGTCCATCATCATCATGGAAGGAGCATGGCGGTATGTAGGCAGACATGGTACTGGCTACATCTTGACCAGAAGGCAACAGGAAATGGTCTGAACATCACACTGAGAGAAGCTTCAGCAGAAGAGACCTCAAAGCCTGCCCCCACAGTGGCACACTTCCTCCAACAAGGCCACACCTACTCCAGCAAAGCCATACCTCCTAATATCAGGGCCGATTATATTCAAACTACTACACATACAAAAAAGGAAAAAAAAAAAAAGAAAGAAAGAAAGGTACATCCTACTTGTCACTCTGGCCAGAAGTTGGGGAGATAGATTCTAAGCAATGATTTCAGTTTCTTTACATGTGCTCCCAAGGGTTTATTTGGCTTTGCCACTCATCAGACATTGTAAACATAGGACTGCTGGCTGGATGTCACTTAGTTTTAACTGACCCCTAATAAAAGGTACCATGTGGGCTCAGAAAGGTGGTATTCTGTAATCACAGCACTGTAAGGCTGAGACAAGAGATCTGAGTTCTAGGCTAAGGTAATAAGATCTCATCTCTAACCTACTTTTCCATACAGAAGGCCATTTACCAGCCACCAGAGCACCATCTGCTGCTGGAGACCAGTCAGGAATTGAGTGGCATGCAGAAGACTGAAGAGTTGGCTCTCCCAGCAGCAGGCTGGCTTGAGCTCTTCATGTGAAGGGTAAAGGTATGAATGAAAGGGACAGGTTGATTCAGAGGGTCTGCTCAGCATGGACTCTGGGTGTCTTAGTCAGGGTTTCTATTGCTGTGAAGAGACACCATGACCATGGCAACTCTTCTAAAGGAAAACATTTAATTGGGGTGGTTCATTTACAGTTTCAGAGGTTTAGTCCATGATCATCATGGGCAGGACATGGCAGCACACAGGCAGACATGGTGCTGGAGAAGAAGCTGAGAGTTCTGCATCTTGATCCTCAGGCAAGGGGGAATGAACTGTGTGCCACACAGAGTGTAGCTTGAGCAAAGGAGACCTCAAAGCCTGCCCCCACAGTGATACATTTTCTCCAACAAGGGCATGGCTACTCAACAAATCCACATATCCCAATAGTGCCATTCCCTTTGGGGGCCATTTTCTTTCAAACCACCACATTCTACTCTCTGGATCCTAAAGGCTTGTAGCCATATCATAATGCAAAATTGCATTTAGTCCAACTTCAAAAGTCCCCATAGTCTATAATAGTCTCAAACTTATTTAAAAGTCTAAAGTTCAAAGTCTCTTCTGAGATTCATACAATCTCTTAACTATTATCCTCTGTAAATCAAAATAAAAAAGCAGATCACATTCTTCCAACATATAATGGCACAGGGTATACATTGATGTAGTGGGTAGCAATTCCAGCTTTAATCTGGAAGTTCCAACCCCCAGTGAGGCTTCGGCAACTGTCACGCCTACAAGGCGGGGCCAAGGGAGGACCCTGGAGACCTGAGACTGGGATGGGCCAGCTCGCTCTCTCTTCCGGGACCCTGGATGGTGGAGGTTGACCATGTAGAGCTCCAGAGAACATCACTGGACTGCGATACACCTTCCCCAGACCCTGCGACCTAACTATCCCTTCATTTGTAAGTTACCCACTAAATAAATCTTCCTTTTAACTACGTGGAGTGGCCTTAATAATTTCACCAATACATTACTGTTTCAAAACATAGGGAAAGGAGCATAGTGAGGAAATACTGGACCAAAGCAAGACCAAAAACCAGCTGGGCAAACTCCAAACTCTGTGTCTCTATGACTGATGTCAAAATGCTCTTCAGATCTCCAGCTCCTTTCATCTTTGTTGACTGCAACACACTTCTTTCTTTTGGGCTGGTTCCACTCTCTGTTAGCAGCTTTCCTCAGCAGGTATTTCATGGCTCTGGCATCTCCAATATCTTGAGGTCTCCAAGGCAATCCAGGCTTCACCTTCACAGCTTCACGCAGTGGCCTCTCTATCCATGAACACCTCTGACGAATGCCTGGCCTCTGCATGTAGTGGGGGAAGATTCCATAATCCCTTTCTTCTATTCTTGACTCTAAAGCCAGGACCACGTGGCTGAAGCTGCCAAGTTCTTCTGCTTGCTGGGACTGGAACATGGCCTCTTTGTTCAATTACATCTTCACAAGCTTTCTGTTTTCAATGGTTTCCTTCACTGCCCAAGTTTGGCTGTCCTTGAACTTGCTCTGTGAACTATGCTGGCCTTAAACTCCTTGCTCAGCTTGCTCCCTTTCATTATAAATCTTAATAAACATGAACATTAGTAGCCATATGACAGAGTCTATACTAGGTTGTTTTGAGATTTCTTCTGTCAAAGGAATTAATCCAAAACTTCAATTTAGCCTCAGGCAGACTTTTCAAACGAGAACAAAAAGCAACCACATTCTTCACCAATATATCACAAGAATGATCTCTAGGCAACATACTAAAATTCTTCTCCTCTGAAACCTCTTGAGTCAGGCCCCCATAGTTCATCAAATTACACTCAACATCACTGTCTTCCATGCTCCTACTAGCATGGCCCATTAAGCAGCACTTAAAGTGTTCAGCTGCTTTTCTAATCCACAGTCCCAAGGTCCACATTCCAACAAAAGCATGGTGAGGCCTATCACAGAAATACCCCAGTCCCCAGTACCATCTTTTGTCTTAGAGTTTCTTTTGCTGTGAAGAGACACCATGACCAAGTCAACTCTTATAAAGGAAAAGATTTAATTGGGGTGGCTTACAGTTTCAGAGGTGTAGTCCATTATCATCATGGCAGCATGCAGGCAGACATGGTGCTGGAGAAGGAGTTGAGAGTTCTACATCTTGATCTGCAGGCAACAGGATATGAACTGTGTGCTGCACTGAGTGTAGCTTGAGCAAAGGAGACCTCAAAGCCCACCCTCACAGCGACACACTTCCTCCAACAAGGGCATATCTACTTCAACAGAGCCACACCTCCTAATAGTGCCACTCCCTTTGGGGGTCATTTTCATTTAAACCACCACATTGGGGATGGAGAGATGGCTCAGCAGTTAAGAGCAGTTGTTCTTGCAGACTGCTGGAGTTCCATTCCCAGTGCCCACACAGCAGTTTACAACCATTTGTAACTCTAGTTCCAGGGGATCTAGAACTAGAACCAGGGGATGTAGTTGGTTGTTTTTGCTCTTTACTCTCTAGGGGGCCTGCCACCCAGCTCCCAAATAAATCACTCATGGAGGCTTATTCTTATGCCTGGCCTTAGCTTGGCTTTTTTTCTAATCAGCTTTTCTTAACTTAAATTATCCCATCTACGTCTTGCCTCTGGGCTTTTACCTTTCTCTATTCTATATACCTTTCTTTACTACTTGCTCTATGGCTGTCTGTGTAGCTGGGTGGATGGCCCCTGGCATCCTCCTCTCCTCTTCTCACTCCTTGATCTCCTCTTCCCAGATTTCTTCTCCTATTTATTATCTCTGCCTGCCAGCCCTCCTATCCTTTCTCCTGCCTAGCTATTGACCATTCAGCTCCTTATTAGACCAATCAGGTGTTTTAGACAGGCAAAGTAACACAGCTTCACAGACATAAATAAATGCAGCATAAAAGAATGCAACACATTTTTGCATCATTAAACAAATGTTCCACTGTAGCTGAAGTTATCCTGTTCCTGCCCAGCTCCCACGGCCCTCAGACCCAAGCAAACACACAGAGACTTACATTATTTATAAACTATATGATCTAATGGCTCAGGCTTCTTGCTAGCTGTTTTTATATATTAAATTAACCCATTTCTATTAATCTATACCTTGCCACGTGGCTTGTGGCTTATGGGTACTTTACATCTTGCTTTTCATGGTGGTAGCTGGCAGCGTCTCCCTGCCTCAGCCTTTCACCTCCCAGAATTCTCCTCCTCGTCCAATCAGCATTTTATTTATCAATCAGTCATAGCAACATTCCACAGCATAAACAAATGTAACACATCTTCAACTAATATTCCACAACAGGATCAGGTGCCTTCTTCTAACCTCCAAAAGGGCACCAGGCATGCACATACATAGATGCAGGTTGAACACTCATACATGTAAACTAAAATTAAGTAAGTAAGTAAGTAAATAAATAAATAAATAAATAAATAAATAAGGAAAGGAAGGAAGGAAAGAAGGAAGGAAGAAAGGAAAGAAAGAAAGAAAGAAAGAAAGAAAGAAAGAAAGAAAGAAAGAAAGAAAGAAAGAAAGAAAGAGAGAGAGAGAAAGAAAGAAAGAAGAAATGGATTACTTTCTGAAGTTTTATATTATTTTTATTTTATTTTTGAGTCAGGGTCTCACTATGTAGCCCTGGCTGGCCTAGAGCTTTCTGTGTAGACCAAGCTGGTCTCAAACTTATAGAGATCTGCCTGCCTCTGCCTGCTAAGTGCCAGGATTAAAGGTAAAGGGTGTGCCACCACACCTGGCATTATAGCACATTTTTGATAGACAGAAATTAAAAAAATATTCTGAGGTCGTGTTTTGCTTGGGGAAGATTGAGGACACATGATTTCCATAGACTCAATAGGAAGCTGACAGTAGGTAAGAATGAAACGGAACCTAGAGGTGAGTGCTTGCTGGGACCTGGCTCCAGCTTTCCATGGGATTTTGGAAAAGCTGCTGAAGATTATTCATTTAGTGCTACAGATGGTCTACTTGGGTGATTAAGAATGACAGGACACAATGAACAATGATGTCACAGAAGATGATGGACTCAAACAGCAGGCCTAAGTTCAGATGAATCTAAGGCCTACACAGAGAGTTCCATGCTTATATCAACCCCTTTACAGGAACATTGCCACCTCCCTTGGGACATGAGTGAGGAATATTCCCCAGGGGCAATTTGTACTCTCCTACTGCCCGTCACAGTGATGTCTGTACTCTGGCTGTTCAAAGGAAAAGGTTATTTTGTAGGCTACTGCATGGTTCTCAGTCTGTCTATCTTGGTACCCTGGATGGTTGCTTTGGAGCATTCAAAGAGAAATGTGTTCACCTGGGCAGCTGTGCAAATATAATTACAAGCACTAGTGAATGACTTCAGCTATTGCACACAGACTGCACAATGGTTTCTAGGCATGCTTGGGGTTTTATTGTTTACAGAACGTTTTCACATTAGACTTCATTTGATTCTGAGTGGGCTGTCTATTTTCCGTCGGTAGCATGTTTGGAGGAGTCACCCCTCTAAGCTAGGTGCTTGGGGCAGGGGAGTTACTTCAGTTTTCTATGCCTTTGTGCGCTCACCTGGAAAGTAGAGACAATCCTAGCACATTCTTCACCAGATGTAGGATGGATGAGGTGAACACATGGACTTCGGAACTGTACCTGGAACACAGTGCCTCAAAGCTCTCCATATCCCTAGCATCACCACCACCATTATGTTAGAAATTCAAGAGTTGTGGTGTTGGTGTCCTCCCAAGGTCATGTTGAAACCTGAGTCTCCGATGACTCTGGGAGGTGGGGCTTTGCAAAGTCATCAGGTCTTGAGGGTGGACACCGCCTGATGAGTTTTCTTTCTGTGTCTGTGCAGGGGGCGTGAGGAGAGAGCACAGGAGAGGAATGGCAGGTGAGCATGCACACCTTTACACGCATGGTAACTGAAGTAAGTTCCCTGCTCCCTTTAGGCAGAAGAGAACCCCCCCAATTCTCTGGCTAAAATAATATACCAAATGAGGATATGTAACTGTATGCAGTTTTGAGAAATACCCAAATGTGTATGTGAACTTTCCCCCTCCCTCTTCAAACATCTAAGTTAGTTCAGAGTTATGGTTAGAGTCTATAAAACTGGTCATGTGATTTTGAAAGTCAGTTCAAGAAGTGGGGCTGGACAGAGAGCTCAGAAGTTAAGGGCATTCACTGCTTTTGCAGAAGACCTGGGTTTGGGTCTTAGCACCCACTCACAATTGTCTGTAACTCTGGCTCCAAGGAACCCAACACCCTCTTCTGGCCCCCACTGGAACTGCACACACATGTTGCACATACATGCAGGCTAAACTGAACTCAAACTCATAAAATAAAAATACATCTTAAAAAAAAAGTAATTAAAGAGCTAGTAAAAAACACTGTTGAAGGCTGGAGAGATGACTCAGAGGTTAAGAGCACAGGCTGCACTTTCCAGAGGTCCTGAGTTCAATTCCCATCGATATGATGGGTCACAACCATCTATAATGAGATCTGGTGCCCTCTTATGGCATGAAGAACGCTGTATACATAATCAATCAATCAATCTTAAAAAACAAAACACTGTTGAAGTGGAGTAAAATAAAATCACGCCTATGCTGTTGGTATTAAGGGGGACATTCTCAAGTTTTGTGACCAGGGGATGGCAGCTTCATGCTGATTGTGGGCTTTCTACTGTGTTCAGCCTGTTTTAGTTTCATAACATTGTAACCAACACTGTTGCATGACAACCTAACAACCATTTCCAGACTTGTCAGGCTTGTCCACTTCCCTACCAAAGAGGCTAAAAATGCTAAATATTTGATTTTGTCTGTTTATCTCAGTCTTGGTCTATGACACTTAAGGAGATGAGAAGTGCCTCCCCCCCACCACCATTTAAAATGCTGTCATATTGAGGATGTGATGTCTGAAGTTGTGGCAGCCTTCTTGTGATCAGAAGCCCTCCAACTTGAAGCTAAAAGCTAACACAAAGGGATGTAAGACTGGGAAGATGAAAAGAATCCCCTTGACAAGAGTTTTTCATGTGAAGATGCAACATACACATCTACTTACTCCAGACAGGGAGCTCATGACAGACCAAAGTACAGATAGCACCAAAGCCCAACTTGGTGGACCAATGAGTATTACTGGAGTTACTTACAGGAATATGGGTAACTTACAGGAGCAAAAATGTAGGGTCCTTAGATGGCTCCAAATGACCAGAAGACACCCAATATGCAATTACAGAAAGCAGCTTTATTCTTGAGGAAAAAACCAGCATGCTGAGGCCCACCCAAAATGGCTTTGACCCCGGGAGAGGGTAAGGGAGCCTCTTTTAAGCCTGCTTAGGGGAATTCCAGCTGTGGTTAAGTGTGCTTTGAAGTGATTGGGTATAGACTCTTTACTGGCTGGCACAGGAATCATTTTATGATTGGCTCATGACATCTGGTCAGCAACTGTGGTTGCAGTGTTGTAGAATATTATTTTAAGGTCTGTTACTTTGGTTTATGCTTTGGAACATTTGTTTAATGATGGAAAGATGTGTTTGATTAAATAAAATTCACCTGTGGTCAGGAGGCTGAGTCAGCAACTAGCCGACAGGAAGTGGTAGGGAGGAGCCAGGTGGAGAAGGGTTTCTAAGGAGGGGCGAGGAGAAGCACTAGGGCTTTTTGGAGGACGAGAGCAAGGGGAGGAGGTGAGCTACTACTTGCTATGCAGCCTCTCTGAAGAGTAGAATTCAACCTTAATCTTTGAATCTTGAGTTCTTTAGAGGGGCAGAGGCTTAGTGAGGTTTCTTTAGTAGCTGTGCAAGAGTTGGAGCCCTTGTGGCCTAACCATTGCTGGTAGCAGTGAAGTTGCAGTTGCTGATGTTGACAGCCAATCAAATAAAAGGATAACAATTGGCGCCCCACGTTGGGCACCAAAATGTTGTTGATCTTTGGTCTTTTGTGGGGCCTACCACCCAGCTTTCAAATAAATCACACAAGGAGGCTTACTTTTAAGTATGACTGCCCTGCCTTAGCTTAGCTTAGTTTCTTGCCAGCTTTCCTTAACTTTAAATTAATCTGTCTAGTTTTTTTTTTTTTTTGGGTTTTTCGAGACAGGGTTTCTCTGCGAAGCTTTGCGCCTTTCCTGGAACTCACTTGGTAGCCCAGGCTGGCCTCGAACTCACAGAGATCCGCCTGGCTCTGCCTCCCGAGTGCTGGGATTAAAGGCGTGCGCCACCACCGCCCGGCTAATCCGTCTAGTTTTTGCCTCTGGGCTTTTCCTGTCTTCTTACTTCTGTAAATCTTACTATTACTCTGTGGCTTGCTGGTTGTATAGCTGTGTGGCTGGCCCTTGGAGTCCTCTTCCTTCTCCCAGATTTCTCCTTCTATATATCCTCTCTGACTGCCAGTCCTGCCTATCCTTTCTCCTGCTCACTATTGGCCATTCAACTCTTTATTAGACCATCAGGTGTTTTAGACAGGCACAGTAACACAGCTTCACAGAGTTCAACAAATGTAGCATAAGCAAAAGTAACACACCTTAAAATAATATTCTATTACATTGTGGTGTCAGGCTAGGACCCTGACTGGCTACCAGACTGGACATATTTCCTGAGGGTCTGACTGAAGCCAGACATGCGTCAACATAGGATGGTGAGGTAATATGGGGCAGAGGTGTTAGCAAACTGGCCCCTGGGAAAAAGAAACAAAAAAACAACTGGCCCTATTAAGGTCAGAACTGTTATAAGAGGGGACAGCTGCTTCATTGAGGAAAAAGACTGGTTTAAAGTGAAGAGTGAGGGTCTGATTAACACTTAACACTACAATGACTCATGTTTTAAAACGTTGGCTTAAAAACAGTTATTTACCTATGGGGCTGGCAAGACAGCTCAGTCAGTAAAGTGCTGGCTGCACACTCAGGGGGACTATGTTCAGATTCTTAGCATGCACATCCAAAAGCTAGGCATGGGCGGGGTGCCTGTGATCCCAGCTTTAGAGAAGTGGAGACCTCAGGATTCTGGGGCTGCCTGGCCCCAGGTTCAGTAAGAGACCTTTTTTTTTTTTTTTTTTAAAGAGGTAGAGTGCTATCCAGGAGGCCTGATGTTTACCACTGGCTCCCACATGTACACACAGCATGAACACACATAAAATGTATATATACATGCACACACACCTGCGTATCTGTGGTACCCATAAAAACAGAATCTCTTGGCTTCCAGTGACCGATGCTGATGCAGGTGGCAGTCCGCCTACCCCTCCCCTGGGCCCCCTGATTCATGACCTTGTGGCTCCATGGCAATGACCTTCTGTGGAAACTGCACGTTTAAAAGAAACACATGTCTGGCAGTATAACAAACAGGTTAGATGGAAATCTGTTTCTAGAAAATGCCTTCCTTTCAATAGAAAAATCAAAGTGCCTAGACAAAGGTTTTGGTTTGCTAATGATGTGAATGGGGCTGAGGAAGACAAGGAGATGCAGAAGTAAAATATAAAACGATGCATACTGATGTCGAGCTGAATCTTTGAACCACTCAAGGCCTCACCCTGCCTCATTCATCTGCTCTTCATCTTTGAGAAACCATGGCTCCCTTTGAAATCAGTTTCTTGTTTCTTTTTTTGAAACAGGTTACTCTGTAACCCCAGCTAGCCTCAATCTCATGGCCATCCTGCTACCTCAGGTTCCTAAGTGCTGGGAGAGATTGCAGGTGTGAGTGAGGCACTAGGTTGATCCCTAGAAAGTACCTCAAGAAAAACAAAACACAACAACAACAAAAAAAAAAACAAAAAAACCTGGCTACATTTAGTTTATTGACTGTCTTAACTTTGGTGAAAGATTTCTGGCTGGAGAAGAATGAGTCTTGCTGGCTCTCTTGACATTCCATTTCCCCACCTTCCCAAACACTTCCTTTGAGTGCCTCTGGGGCAGCCAGTCCTGACTCTAGGTCAGCCTGCAGAGTCCCACCCAGCGAGAGCATTTCTAAGGTGGAAATCTGTTTGCTCCTCCCGTGTTAGCTCCAGAGCCATTCTTTGTGGCTTCTTCAAAGGGGCGCTCTCTGGTCACTGAAGGCCCTCAGAGGTGTACCAGCAGGTCTGAGACTCTCTGTCCATCAGGACAAGGTGAGGCACAGAGGAGCAAACCCCAATGGCTGCACTACTACTTCCCACAGCTCCGGTGATCACTTAACCCCATGTAGTAACTGCACCATTCCCCTCACACAGGGAGTCAAAACACGTTACACAAAGATGCTAAAAATGCTTTCAAATAAAAATTTATTTTGCAAATCAGACATTCACTTTCAAATATAGTTTCTCTGTAAATCCAATTTTTTAGGTATTGTATTTATTTGTAATTCACTAGAGGCAACTGAATGGTATTTTACAATGGGGTGGAATTATTAGTTTAGATGCAGTTGTTTCAAATAGAAGGTATATTCTGTTTTCATACATTCAGTCTGAACCAGAAAGTTCTATTAGCCACACAAGCATAAATCTTTTATCTTAGATAATAAAATATATTCACTCCATACAATAATAAAATATAATAGAATATTTGCTGAAGTAATAAAAGGGTTACATGATCTGGGTTGTCATTGGAGGAATGTAAGTACAAATCTGTAAAAAGATATTTTCTGAATACAATTCCAATAAGGCTGAACATTTCCAAGTATCTTACATACATAAAGAATAAATTATTTCCGGTTAATACATTTTTGCATTAGGGCCATAAAAGCTGTAACAATTTTGATTACCTTAAAGTCCCAAGTTTTCTAGGGTTGGCTCTGCCAGTTCTGGCACATGGCATACAAGGATTGGGGAAGGGAAATGCTTGGAGTCGTGACAGGGTTAATCAGCAGGCAGACCGGCTTGGGGAGGAGGGGGCAAGGACAACCACAGGGAAGAAGATGCCACGACATCAGACAGGCCAGCCCAAGCACTGCCTTGCTGTGGCTCAGGCTCCCGTTGCTTAAAGCGTTCTGAGAGACCCCAGCAAGACTTCTGCTTTGAGTCGGGTCTTTTTCTTCTTGAATGTGACTTTCTACCTGAGGTGCTGGGCATACGTGAAGGAAAAATCATGTCGCCAGATGTTAAGCAAGAAAAGCAGTACACAAGTCAAAGCAAATGTCTCCAGTAAAGAGCCCCAAAGGGGTTTTGTACATGAATGCAGGAAAGGAGTGAAACTGGGCTTGAGGCTCTTAAATTAAAAAAAAAAAAAAAAAAGCCAGAGGAAGCCAGACATGCTGACTAAAGCTTGTAATCTCAGCTGAGGCTGAGGCAGGACGATAGCACATTCAAGGTCTGTGGTTTGGTCCCTAGCAAGTACCACAGGAAAAAAAAAGAGGGGACAGAAAACACAGTACCCAGCAGGAAGGCAGAGGAACACTTTAAGATCTGGACTCTTCTACCCCATGTAGCTACTGTTAAATGTCCCCACAGGCCTGACCCATGGTTGTTGCCTGGAAACCTGCCAGACATTTCCTAAGGGCTCTGAAGCCTCAGCGCGGGAAGTTCAGTTAGTGTCTGGTCACAGCACCCACACACTGTATGTCCAAGGCAGCGACGACAGGACATGCTTATTTATAGCTCAATGCTTTTCAACTTTATTAGGAAATGGGGTAACATAGTCCTGAACTATCCCAACCTTCAGATATGCATGGCACCCACACTCTCAATGACAGCACAGTTTCTAAGGCCAAAGAAGACTGTCATGTGCTGTAAAGAAACAAAATCTAGAGCAAAATTCAAGACAACACAGCCTGCTGAGCCCAGGAGTGCTGTGGAGTACTTTAAGCAGACATACGGATGTGTTCCTTAAAGAATACTTGATCAGGACACGAGGAAACGGGTACCCTCTGTGAAATATAACTGCATACTGGGCTTTTTTATCTTATCCTCCAGGAGAAATAAGAGCATCTGGGCTTGGAGCCCTTGCTCGGAAGCTGTGCTACCAGGAAGCAGTTAACGGGTCTAACTGGGACGGCCTTCATGGAGGCCTGCCGTGTATAAGGGGACTGCGGGACGGGCAGGCTTTGGGGACTCTTTTCTGAAATAGGGGGAGAATACATCCACAAAGTATTTTATTAAGTGGTGGAGACTTTTTTTTTTTTGTTGTCTACTTGAAAAGGATAAACTTCTATTTCACCTTGATACTGTTCTAGTACAAAAGCACTTGATTTCCATATTATGTGGGGCTCAGAATCTTTTTACACAAATGTTTTCTAAAGAGGCGAGGACTTAATGATTTCTAAAACTTGGAAATTACATCCAAGGAACAAAAGGTAGTTTTTATTTTTAGCAGTGTGGTTGGAACAGTGACAAGGGGTGATTTATTCCACCAATCTGATGGTGCAGTCTCTTGGGGTTTCTGCACCGTGCATCAGCTTGTGCATTTGTGCCTGTGTGGGGAAAGCCAGGAAGGGTTCCTAGGTGTCACTGCTTGCCAAATGCTCACTCTCATCCATCCGCCAACAACTTAACTAGGAGGAGAATGTGCGTCTCCAGAATAACCTTGCTGCTCATTCTAAATACAGAGGGAAGGTGGATGGGAGGGTGTCTTCAGCCACAAAGAAATCAATGCGCATGCGGCCAATGCTGAGCATGGCGGGTCTCTCACCGGACAAGTGACAACCTGCGCTGCTTAGAGGCGCAGGCGTACTCATTCTAAAAACTCTGTACGCTATCTAGATAGCTCACAGGAAGAAAGTGCAGTGTGTCATTTATAAAAAACCGGTGGACAACCAGAAGGAAGTTCACTCTAAACCACAGACTGAAGTAGGGTTTCATTCCCAGAATTCTAAGTTTTCTAGGTAGCTAATGCCACCAGTGTGGTGTTAAACTCCCACATCATGAGGGAAAGTAAGAGGATGGAGAGGGAGAGAAGTTAGCACTCTGGAAGGTTAAGAGGCTGGGCATGGTGGTCTTGACTCGGGACTGTGAGTTCAAGGCTAGCCTGGGCTGAATAGCAAGACCTTGTCTCACAACCAGAAACACATGAGTAGCAGCAGTAAAAGAACTTGTGTTAGAATCACAAAGCTCCATTAGGTTCCGAGACTTCCAGCTGCAAGGCACATTAACAACAACCACGGCGGCGAGCGATGTTACATAGACAATGGAAACCAAAGACAAAGGCCCGGAAGGTGCACCAGCATCGTTAACGCTGCTGCAGCTGCTGCAGCAGAGCGAGGCTGCGCGGGAGCGCCTGGTGATGAGGCCGGGAAGAGCTGGTGTTCTGGGTGGAATTCCAATGATTCTTCCGATTTAAATGAGTTCCCCAGCTCTCCACATTACGGACTATTTCAAGCTGTAGAGGATGACACTAGTGTTTATTTTTTGTCATATACTGCAGGTTAGACCAAGTCCATTGGTTTGGCTGAATGGAGTCTTGAAAGTGTGGTCCACACTGCTCAGTCAAAAAGCCAACAAAAGAGAGGCGCTCCGAAGAATAATTACAGAAATCCCAACTTCTTCACCTTGGTTATGGATCCACAGTTTGCACAGAAATAAATAATATGCATGAAGTCAAATTAGGATTAAAACTTGAAACAAGAAAAAGGGGTGGGGTGGGGTGGGTGAGATAACAATCTGGTACTCTTAAGGCAAAATCATGGAAATTTCTTTAAAGAGACACTTCACTATATCCACAGGCGATAGAATCCCAGAGCTACTGTTAGGCACGTAAACACAGACCCTGCAAGAAAAGAACCAAGAGTACAGTTAGCCCCTGTCACTCTCTCTCAGGGACTTTCTTTTGTACTGCACCAGGGATGAGCAGCCACTTAGAGGGCTGAGTGAGGAGGGCCGGCTCCGGCACTTCTTCACTCTTCTTGTGCCAGGCAAGACCTGGAAACAGTGTACCAAAGGCTTGCAATCCACGAAACACTGCTTGTTAGAGAACAAGTCTCCACCTGGCAGCCAGCATCTTCCCGGTCGGTACAAACGTGTCCAGAGTCAGGAAACCCTTCCGATGCAAGTCAGAATCACAGCAACTATAGGATCAAAGTGCATGCGTGTGTGCATGCACTGCCATATAAGGAGCAAAATTCCACTACTAAATGCTGCTATAACTTCAAAATATTTGATTAATCTGAATTATCAGAATTGACTTGAAATAGTGATTTTTAAAAAATATTTATTTTTTTATTGTATGAGAATGAGTGTTTTGCCTGCATGTATGTATGTGCAACATGTACATGACTGGTGCCCATGGAGTCCAGAAGAAGGCATCAGATCCCCTGCAACTGAAGTTATAGGCAGTTGTGAGCTGCCATGTAGGTGCTAGGAATTGAACCCAGGTCCTTTGCATGAGCAAACAGTGATGTTAAGCACTGAACCATCTCTTTAGCCCCTAGTGATTTTTTTTTTTTTTTAATGCCAAAATATTCCTTCTTTGGCTTCAGAATTACAAAAGCAAAAATCACTTCTTTACAAAGACTGTGCTGTGGCTGGAGAGAAGGCTCAGTGATTGCAATCTGAGTCTGAAGTCTCTAGAATCCATATAAAAAGTGTGCATGCCAATAACCCCAGCTCAGGGTGGGGGTGGGGGTGGGAGGGTAGATTCGGGAGTGCAGGCTGCCAGCTTGGCTCCAGCTTCAGAGAGAGAACAGGTACAGAGTGACAAAGAAGGGAAGCCATGTCATCCTCTGGCCTCTTCGGGTGCACACATGGGTACTCCCTTCCAAGTGTCACCAATGAAGTAAGACGGTCACAATCAAAGGCCTTCCATTCTATTTATAAGCAATTCCCTGTACTGAACTTCACTGAAATCCCTAAACCATAGGAAAGGATAGCATCCTATCAAATCTAAGGTCTCATCAATTATAAAGTACAGAGGCATCTTTATTCCTAAGGAAGAAAATGCACATTAAAGGAGGTACTCCATCTATTGGAAACTGCAGGATGTGCTGCAACAAAAAGATGTTAAAGCAGCAGAGACAGCGACGGCGGCGGCGGCCAATGGCATGTGCTGCTGCCCCTGACTGTTCTATGACGCGGACGACATTCTTTTCAGCTTTGAAAGCGTTTGAAATGCTTGGGTGTGAAGCATCTCACCTGCTAAGTATTTGATCGTGTCAAGCTTGTGCGCCTCCAGCAGAGTCTTGAGGCCAGCCACCTCAGTTTCTATCTTCCTGTCTGTCTGGGTCAGGGCTCTGTCTTGCTGGGCGTGCTTTGAAAGCAAAGAGGTTGAGAAGGTTAGAGTCTGTGGGTGCTGTTCTGTTCCCTGTTGCTCTGATGCAGAGCTCTTTTTCAGCAGGGTGCAGTCCTGGATGGAGAGCTGGAGCTGGGGTTACTCTTGGCTCTGCTGTCCTCAGGCCACACTGCACTGTCCAGGGCCTTTCATGTCTCCTGTCTCAGTTTCCTTCTGTTTGGAAAAAGGGATTAGAAAGAGAACAAACCAACAACCTACCACTGGTCTTGCCTCCAGAAGAGCTATTGAGAAAGTCAAAGATAATAATCTATAAGGCAGTTTTTGAAACCAGACTGCTTTACATGCTGTGGCATTCTGAGACCAGCCTGCTCTCGATGGAGTGATGTCTAGTCCCTGTCTGGCCCCTGCAGGGGACAGTGGACACAAAAGTTCTGCCGAGAGACGAACATGGCCTTAGATCTGACAGTGACAGTGCTGACTCAATACTATTTCTAGCCACATCTTTTCCGGCCGCCATCTCTCACAGGTCTAACATCAAGTGTTTTATTAACATGAAGCTCAGCTACCAAACATAAGACAACTCCAGACGACACACTTAACCCTCAGTGGGCAACGACTCTGGCTGTCAAACTAATGCATTAAAAACCCTGAGAATATTCTACTGAAAATCCAAGGATAAGAAGTTTCCTTCCTTCTTTCCTTCCTTCCTTCCTTCCTTCCCTCCCTCCCTCTTTGCCTCCCTTCCTTTTTTGGTTTTTCAAGACAGGGTTTTGGAATTCCCCTCCAGACCAGGCTGGTCTCAAGTTCACAGGGCTCCTCTGCCTGTCAAGTAGTTTCTTACCAACACCAATGCAGGTAAATAAAAGGAAACGAAGCCACTCTAGAGAAAGACCCTTGTATCCCATGGAAGGTCCTGCAGCACAGGTCCCAGGCAACACAATGGATGTCTCCTTAGCCTATAAGCTACACTCAGGCCACTCTATGGCTAAGCTATGTATGTAATATATAAGGAAACACACACACACAGAGAAATTAATTCATGCCTTAAATTAAGAATATAAGGAGTGTCTTATATTTTGTCATTTGTCAATCACTGAGATTAAATGTTCATATTATTTGTCAATCACTGAGACTTAACATTCATAAACATGACTTTGTTTTGTGAAGTCTAAAAGTCAACCGGTATTCAACTTCTAGGTATCTATCCCAAAGAACCCAGAGCAGAAAAATCTAAATCCTGTCTGTGCATCCATGCTTGTCACATTTTACACAGCAGCCAGGTGACAGGAGGAACCCGAGTGGGCATCAACAGATGAACGGATGAGATGTGGTAATAACGGAACGGCTCTGTCTTAAAAAGGGAGCCTGCCGTGGGCAGCAACACGGGCAGACCATGGCACTCCACTCCCTGGAGCCGGTCAGCCGTGGGAAGACAGATCTGCCCTGACTCCACTTACACAAGAGCAGACACACAGAGAGCAGAGAGGTCTTGCTGGGGCTAGGAGGAGGGTAGAGAGCTAGGGTTGAGGAGACACGGTTCGGGGGCCAGAAAGACGGCTCAGGTGTGGGTGTGTGCTTGTCATCCCAGGGCCGAGAAGCGGCCAGGTGGATCCCGGGGCTCACTGGCCAGCCAGCCTAGCCAGTCACTGAGCTCCAGCTTCAGAGAGAGACCTCTCCTCGAAACAGAAGAGGGACAGCTATGCGGGCAGACACTTGATATTGACCTCTGACCGCTGGCGGCGCACGCACAGTTGTGCGCCCCTCCCAGGAAAAAAACAGTTTCAGTTTTGCAGAATAAATGACGTTGGGGACGGAGAAATGGCTCAGTAGTTAAGAGGATGCGCTGTTCTCCCAAGGATTGGAGTTTGGTTCCCAGCACCCACGTTGGACGGCTTACAACTTCCTGTAACTCCAGCTCCAGGGATCTCATGACCTCTTCTGGCTTCTACAGGCACCTGCACTTACACGCACGTACCCATAAACAGACACCACATAACACACACACACACACACACACACACACACACACACACACACACACACACACAATTAAAGCAAATCTTCAACACATGCCATTGAACTATACACATACAGTCGCTAGAGTGATAACTCTTACATACATTTTACCACAGTGAAAAAGACCCCGCACTACATGTGCACATCCTCCTCCTATGACCCGTCAGACGGTGGTTAACGGCAAAGCCATGCGTGGGGAGAGGCAAAGAGGAACAGGACGACAGAAAGGCCGGCCTCAGTCCTTACCAGGGACACCATTTCTGTCCTCAGTTGCAGCATCTTCTTCTCATTCAGTGAATACTGAAACAAACATGCAACACGGTTAGAGTCCAGGCACCGTCTGTCTGCGGCCGTCAACCTTCCGCGCCCGCTGCTTCCCCGAGCATCTAGCAGGAGACGTCACCCCGCATCACCGCGGCCCGCAGCTCTTGCTTTGTTTGCAGTGGAGCCTTCTTCTTTATACCCACTGGTTGTGCTGGCTGCGTTTGATGTCAACTTGAAACAAGCTAGAGTCATTTGGGAAGACAGAACCCCCGTTGAGAAATCAGCCCACCAGACTGACCTTGGGGCAGTTTCTTGATTTGATGTGGGAGGGCCCAGCTGACTGGGCTGGTGCTGGGGGAGCTCTAAGCAGGCTGAACAAGCCAGGAAGCAGCACTCCTCCATGGCCTCCAGGTCTCTGCCCTGACTTGCCTGGATGATGGATTACACGCTGTAAGCTGAAATAAACCCTTTCTTCCCCAAGTTGCTTTTGGTCCCAGTGTTTGTCACAGCAACAGAAAGGGAACCAAGACACTGTGGATGTGTGGTCCCTTTTCACTTCTCCTGGCCGTTTCTCGTTTTGTCTCTCGGCTATGATATCACTCGGTCCTGCGCACTGTTAGAACAGCTTATCTTGGGTCCCACGTAGATGGGTGCTGATCAACATGCTTTTGAGGTTTGGAGGGTTAATAAAGGGGAGGGGCACCAGTTTAATTTAGGAACAATGCTCCTATAACTACAAGCATGGCAGACATTACTGACAGAGGAATGATAAAAACAACATATTAGGAAAAACTAGTTTAAGAAATGATTAATGATTAATGATTAATCATTAATTAATGATTCTGTAACAAGATATACCATTGTTATGAAGCATAACATAAACGCAAGAAATCAGCAAAGCATCACAAACTGTCTTAACAACAGTGACCAAAAGAACCCTGCTGTGGGAAACCACAGCCTAGTGTTTCTGAAGGCCTTTAGCCATTAATGGTAGTAGAAAGACTTAGTATAGTTCTATAAATAAAATAAAAATCAGACATGTTTCCATAATAACAAGCATTAGTATTTAGTTGAGCAAATGGGAACTGTAGTTTAAATGAACATTTTAAAGACAACATTGTCAACAGGAAAAATGGTAATGTCTTAAAGTACCTAGAAAAATTTCTAACTATAAAATAGTCTCTTCAAACTACTGAAGCAATAGAATGTAGTAATGCAGTGGTCAGAAGTAAAAATGCGCCCCCAAATTCCGGAATCCTATGCCAAGGACCAGCCTGGTGACTCAGGACCCTGTTACATAAGCTAGGAGGGTTTCAGATTCATGCCATTCATCATATCACCACCAGAGGGCAGAGCGGAGCTGGATGGTCTGTACACCTTTAAGCTCACAGCATTAACAAATCCACAGGGAAAGAAAGGCCTACATCTTGACACTGTCACGATTATTAAAATGACACCTCTCTGGCCCTATCTCCTGGAACTCCAGGACATCAGTATTCTATAGTGCTATGGAAACTGGCTGTAAATATCGCCACAGCTAATTTTTGTTGGCTGTGTTGGGTATCAAACTCAGGGCCTCACACACGAAGTAAGTGCTCGGCAAGTGAGTTGCAACCTCAGCCCTGATTTAAATTTGAAATTACTATCAAGAAGAAAGTCAAACCCCTCATTTGCCGACTTTCTCACTCAGTAAATCCTATACACTCACAGGTTTTCATCTATATTCACACCCTGCAGCTCCCAAGCGCTGAGATACATTTCTTTCCAGCTTGGTGATGCATAAGCACACTATTATCTTCCCAAACCAAGTGAGTTGCAGCAAAACCTAGCTGTCAAGGAGCTCACAGAAGGCTTCCATATGCTGGAGACTGGATCTTTGTGACTGAAAACTTTCCTAAAGACAGGCAGGTGATGGACTCAGCAGTTATTTTGCATAACAAAGCTCAATGTAACCATTGAAATTCAACAGCAGCTCCAGATACAATTATGTACTTGTCTGAGCTGCAGGGTTAGCGTCATTCATCATGGGGACACATTCTGACCAAAGACACACTGAAAAGTGTAAGAACAGGAAGGGCTGTGTAGACTCGTCTGCATGAGACTCCGTTCACACCAAGTGTGAAAGTGCTCCTCCACGTTCACACCAAGTGTGAAAGTGCTCCTCCACGTGCCCTGGTTTTCTTATGCCACAAGTAAGAAAGTTACCTTATTATGTTACTCAAGATAAAGGAGAGTCTGAGCAAGAAGATGGGAGAATTTAGACAGGATAAAAAGTGAACAGCGTGGGGGGTGGGTGGGGTGTGTGTGTGTGGGTATTGTAGCCCAGGAGGAGCATGGGGTGGGGGTACCATGCCTCAGTGGTATCACACTAGAAAGTGGGAGACCCAGAGTCTGAGTCTCAGAACTGCTAAGAATATAAAAAATAAAAACCCACTATAGCAACCCAACATACATTCATTGACACATACAACTACTCAGTATTTAAAACACAATACAGAAATACACTTCGCCAAAGTTCTATGTAGAATTTAACATAATAACAATATAACCTATGTCAGAAAATCAGGAGCTTTTGAAAAGTTAGGGACTGTGGGGATTAAATCAGTATTAAATAGATTAAGATTGAGTTTAATTTTCTGGAGATTAAACCAGTATTAAATAGATTAAGATTGAGTTTAATTTTCTTACTAACATCTATATAACATATAATCTACTATGTTTGAAATAAAATATTCAAATTCAACTTGAACAACTTTTTAATTTAAAGGATACTTTTGAACCAAATTTAAGTCTGACCTAAAATGTAATTAAGATTTAAAATAAAGTTGTGAACTCTGATAAATGGACAAGTGTCTAATGATATTTGTGCCTTGTACATAAGATTAAGACTTCAACAAGCATTCCATTCTAAGAAGAAATTAATGATTGACTTTGAATAAAGGAACATACCAATTCTTTCACTCTGCTCTTTTCTAGATTGAAGTTTAATTTGGTATCTGTCCGGACTTTGTTCATTTCATCCTGGGCAGAGGGCAGAGGACAAAGAGAATGAAAGAAGAAGCCAGTGTAAGAAATCTGAACCTCCTGAGGGCTTAAACTGGGGACTGCCCACTGTCTATCCCAAGGGAGCCAGCCCAGGAGGGACATGCCAGAGGCCTCGGAGACAGGGACTCAGGAGCAACCATCTCTTAAATCAGCTCTGTGTCTGGCCCTCCCAGTTATCTGCACAGATAATCCCACCTGAGCCCAACATCAGCCTGCCAGAGCTCAGCTGTTTTAACCTCAAGACTCTCCTTATGACCACCTCCCTCATGGAATCTGTGAATAAAATTCTTTAGACCATTTGAGAAGCAAAGACAGACCAAGGGACAAATACTCAACTCTCCTTATAAAAAGCTGTCTCACTAAGACTGACCAAAATCTTTCTATGCCACGGTTCTTTCCCACTTTATAGAGTGACCAGCTGCTGGGCAAGCCACCATCTAAACCCACATGGAATCCTATAAAGCTACCCTCTGCTAGAAGGGTCTCTTTAGAGCATGATTTACCATGACTTAGCCAGGAGTGGTGGCAGAGGCGAGTAACCCCAGCACTCAGGAGACACAGAGGGAGATGGAGAGCTGGAGTTACATTAAGACCCTTTCTCAAGAAAGAAAAACGTACCCTCCTACAACAATTTCCTTAATGAATGTGGCCACATACAAGGCAATTGATACACCACCTGATGTATGCTTTGAAATATATTACACAAATTCACAGAATTGAGTTCTCCAGCACATATGATGTATTTGTGACAGTTTATCTATTAGTAAATGTATGTGATTACATACCCGCCCGAGGACAGGAAAGAGAGCTTACCATCACTTGCTGTTTTAACTGGTGTAGTTCAAGTTTTATTTTCTAAAAACACAGTAAAGAGAAAAAAGTCAAGGACGTGTGACTGTTAGGGGAAAACACAAAACAAACATCACCATGAACATTTAAGCACACGTGACTATACTCAGAACACAGAACTACCTAGGCTGGGTGTGGGGGTGCAGCCTCCAATCTCAGTACTGGGGACACTGAGGCAGGAGGACTGTGCAATGAATTTGAGGCCAGCCTAGGCTATATACCGAGTAAAACACTAGCCTGGGCTACATAATAAGACTCTGTCTCAAAAAACCAAAGCTCCAACCAACTAAACAAACCAACGCCCCATTTACAGTCATCCTATAATACATCGTGTTCACCTGGGAAAGTTTCCTCACCCCTTGTGGGTCACATCAGGTGAGGAACAACCATGGCACACCTCTGTCCTCACCGACCCTGTTTTCCTTTTTTAATTCCTCCTTGGCTTTTTCTGTCAACCAATTCTGCCCTCTACAAGCTGAGTTCAAAGACAACCGTGGGAGCTCAGCGGGTAACAGATGAGTCTCCTCCCAGGACTTCAACCGGACTGAGGATGAAAGCAGGCTGCAAAGAAGCACTTCCCTCAGCCAGCCGCCACCCACACTCTAGACAGACAGAAAGTAGGCAGGGGGTGGGTGGGTGGGTGGGTGGTGGTGGTGGTGGTGGTGGTGGTGGTGGTGGTGGTGTGTGTGTGTGTGTGTGTGGCTCAATGGGCAAAGCACTTGTCTTGCACGCCTGACAGCCTGAATTTTATCCCCAAATCCCATGCGGAGGTGGAAGGGGAGAGCCAGCTCCACAAGGTCACCCTCTGACATCCACAGGCATGCTGCAGAATTCACGCGTGCACATGCACTGGACTCATATGCAATAAAAAACAAAAGCAAACAAACAAACAAAAAACCTGGGGCTGGAGAGCTGGCTCAGTGGTTAAGAGCACTTGCTGCTCTTAGAGAGGAGCCATGGCGGCCTGGTTCCGAGCACCCACACAGCAGCTTACAACCATCTGTAACTCCAGTTCCAGATGGTCTGACACCTACTTCTAGCCTCTGTGGGCAGTGCATGCAAGTGGCACACAGATACACATGCAGGGAAAACACCCATAAACATAAACTTAAAAGGAAATAATATTTATTTATTTATCTATTTATTTTTGATAGGAAAGGAGTATTTTGCAGAACTATTTATTCCTAACCCTCTAGACTGGGGAAAATAAAAAACCTAATAGCCACCACCCTAGGATGATATGCATATTAATATAACACCATAGAGAGTGAAAACAAAAGGTTCTGTTATTGCAAGGCACACTGAATGCATCCATCAAACAGAAGTCTAGAATGGGCAAAATCAGTGGACGATTAATCAGCCAGGGTTATTTTCCTCTCGAGAGGAGGGACTGGAAGGAGCCTGGGCAGTCTTTCCAGGGCTGGGAATCATCTTGATGTGCTGAGTTGTGCAAGCCCTGAACAGATCACTGTGAGTTATTTTCTTGTGCCCTTCTGGGTGAGCGTAGTTCAGTGTCTTTACAGAGAATGTTAGAGTGGTTACACAGTTTTACCTCATTTTCTGCTCTGAGGGCTGAAAACTCACTCTTCTCCAAGATGACCATATCTTTTTTCACGTTAGCGATCTTCGACATGATTTGCTGAAGAGTGATTTCCTAGAAAAAGAGAGAAACAAAACACGGACTCTCGTCTGGCCCCCAAACCCACTTCTCCTCACCTCTGCCTGCGAAGAGGGCTAAAGAGAAACAGGAACAGTGGGGTAAAGAGAGGACTGGTCAGGGCACCCTCTGCTCCAAAGTGAGGAAGTGAGGGAAGGGCACTAATCCGCAGCAAAAGTAGGCGAGTCGCAGCTGAGGGGGAGGGAGAGGCACTCGAATGCTACGCTGTCACCTACAGTGTGGGCCACATCTCCAGTCGTTGACATGCGCTTGCCTGGGACAGTCATATTGACACAGTGAGCACTCAAGCCCAAGCCATATTACCGAACTAACAGGCTTTGATGAAGTTCTTTTGGTATGATTTTTGCCTCTGAACTATGGTTAAAATTACCATACACTTTTCAATAGAACATCATCCAAAAGGCTGCTTGAGTATTTATCGTAAGTAATATCCTACTTTCAGATTTCCAATGTGACAATCTGGTGGTATTGTGTTCCCCAAAATATTGTGCACCCTAATAAACTTATCTGGGGTCAGAGACAGAACAACCAGAATATTAAACATAGAGGATAGACAGTGGTAGCACACGCCTTTATTCCTAGCATTCCAGAGGCAGAAATCCATGTGTTCAAGGATATAGCCAAGCATGGTGACTCACGCCTTTAATCCCAGGGAGTGATCGTAGAAGGCAGAAAGATATATAAAGCGTGAAGACCAGGAACTAGAAGCATTTGGCCTGGTTAAGCATTCAGGCTTTTGAGCAGCACAGTTCAGCTGAGAGCCATTCTGGATGAGGACACAGAGGTTTCTAGTCTGAGGAAATAGGATCAGCTGAGAAACTAGCAAGGTGAAGAAGCTGTGGCTTGTTCTGTCTCTCTGATCTTCCAGTGTCCACCCCAATAACTGGCCTCAGGTTTGATTTTATTAATAAGAACTTTGAAGATTCCTGCTACACCCATCCACCCTGCCCACATTACCTGCTGCACCTTGGTGACCATATCACTGTAGACGATGTCCATGTTGGTCTCTGTGTTCTTGACCAATGCAGACACAATGATTTCTGCTTGTTGAGTGGTGAACCCTAGATAAACACACAGAAACAACCAGACTCAGAAGAAAAAAACCAAGACAAAGATGTGGGAAGCACACGCGTTTCTGTGAAGGCTGGAATTCTGAAGAAAGAGGAAAGAATGGCGTAGTGAGAGAGTGAGACAGACCCACAGGCCCTGACGTGTCTGCCACTCTGACCAGAAGGAAACACCTGAATGCGTTTCAGCGGCTGGGACCATCAGCGATCTCTATCGCCGTCCTCAGGTTCCAAACTAAGAAAAGTCGAACATTTCTGCTTATCAAGACAACTTTATATGTCCTCCTTCTCATCTCTTCTTTTCTCTTCAATTCTAGGCTGGAAGACACTGGGTGGGAAAGGCCTGCTGTTTCACTTGAAGAGAAAAGCTGAACAAACTATGACACAGTGTTTGACCATTTTCCCAAAGCCCATGATGTACATTATTGCATTTAATACCCAAAAGGAAAGGAACTTTGGGATTCTTCTTATGTCTGTGGTACAGATGGGCAGGCCCACAGAAGCTAAGGAGACAGGGCTTCCACAGCTACCCAACAACCAGGGTGTCTGCCTGCCCACCAGAGGCTGCTGCGCTCACCCAACACAAATGTGTACAACTGGGTAAATATACTCAGTGAAGGAAACACAGACATGTTGATTTCAAAGACATATTCTATGTTAATTCAAAACCTGGTTTTGAGGATGTATGTGCCATATAATGGAAAATTGTAGTAGCATATTTCTCTGAATATTAATTATGAGATGATATCCTGTGTTCCAAGTGTACTTTCAGTGAACAGCATTTGTGTCATGGCAGCCTTTCTGGTCTATGTGTGTGTGTGTGTGTGTGTGTGTGTGTATGTGAGATCGGGGGTGATAGTTGAGGGTCTTCCTCAATCATTCCCCATTTTTTTTTATTTATTTGCTTGTTTGTTTTATTGATTTAGAGGTAGGGTCTCTCACTGGACCTGGAGCTTGCTGACTCAGATACATGGGCTGGCCGGCAAGCTCTGTGGATCACTCTGTCTCCCCCATTCCCAGTGCTGGGATTATAGGCATGTCATTATGCCCGACTGTTTACGTGGGTGCTGGGATCTGAAGTCAGGTCCTGGACTGGCCAGTTTTTGTCAGTGGTTAACAGAACTTGCTACTCTTCAGGAGGATCTGAGTTTGTTACCGAATACCCTTTTCGGTCAGCTTACAACTATCTGTAACTCCAGTTCCAGGAGATCTGATACCCCTTTCTGGCTTCAGAAGGCACCTTCCCCACATACGTAAAACACACAAACAAACAAATAAAAAAACAAATAAAACAAATCTCAAAAATTGAAAAAGAAAAGAAAACAAACAAATACAAAAAAACCAAACCACAATCCCAAACAGGACAGAAGAGATGGCTCAGAGCTTAAAGGTGCCTGGTGTCGAGACTGCTGACATGAATTCTATCCCCAGAACCCACGTGGCGGCAGAAGGAAGAACCGACTCCTGCAAGTTCTCATCCGACCTCCCCAACCCCAATAAATATACATAAAAAACCAAACCAAAACAAAACCAAAAGACACCCAAAATACAAAACAAAAAACACCAATAGATCCTAAATAAGCAAAAATGTAGTCTTTTCAATAGAGAAAAACCGTTAAGAAAAGTCTCCATTGTGTTGATAAAGAAAAAAAGAAAAAGCTTAACCCTTAAGCAGGGTTGCGGGAGCTCAGCTCACAGGGTGCTTACCCAGCAGGCACCACGCTCCATTCCCTAGCCCTGCATAAACTCTGCATGGTGGTACATGTCTGTAATCCCAAGGAGAGGCTGGAGGATCCGAAGTTCAAGGTCACCTTCAGCTATACAGTAAGTTTGAAGCCAGCCTGAGATATGTAAGTGTCTTTCTCAAAAAAGTCCTCAAGCCAAAAAAAAAAAAAGGTGAACTTAAAAAGAGGCTAAGTATCTGTCACAGTCAGCTCCAGCTGCCAGTTCCACACACCTGGGAAGAGGAAGCAAGCTTCACTGAAGAAGAACTGCCTTTGTGACCCATGGCATGTCTGGAGGGGGGGGGGTCTTTTTTAATTGCTAAAAAGAAAGCATGCTGAACCAGGCAGCAGAACAGGTCAGTAAGCAGACTTCCTCCAGGTCTCAAGTTCAGTTCCTGTCATACTTCCTACCCTCAATGATGGACTGTAATATGTAAGCCAAATAAACCCTTTCCTCCTCTGACTTGCTTTTGGTCATGGTGTTTACCACAGCAACAGAAAGCAAATTAGAACACCAACCAAAGCTGAAAAGTTGAAAGAGAAATACTGGAAAGGAAAGGAAGCACACACGAGGAGAAGTCCCCGCCGGCTGCACTGATCCAGGGCGCAGGCGCAGGCGACGCCTGCGGGGCTTACCATTTGCTTCAAGTAAGCACACCAGAGCGTGGGTGTCAAAGTAGAGTTTCCGACTCACAGACGAGGGCAAGTTCCCCTTTCTGTGCTCTAGCTGGCGGCACCCAGCAGACAGGCTTAGCTCTACAAGGGAAGAGAAAGGAAGCCGAGATCAGTTAGCAAGAAACAAAAGTCATCTGATGCTATAGGTTATGTTTCAATACCTCAGAAACCTGTCTCATTTTTTACAGGGCCAGAATGCACACATATGATGCAAACTGCTTCATGCATAAAATTCAGTTGTTTCTTGTATATTTAAGAGTAGGCACTCATCCCTGCTGTGGATGTTCTGTATGTCAAATTACTCTGATTGGTCAATAAATAAAACACTGATTGGCCAGTGGCTAGGCAGGAAGTATAGGCAGGACTAACAGAGAGGAGAAAAGA